GCCTGGACCTCTAGAGGGCAGATGAGGTCCAGACCTGTTGGCAGAGCATTCCAGGCCTTGACAACCTATTACAGCTTGTCCCCAGCCCCACCTGCAATGTGTTTTCATGCCAGCATTTCTGGGATCTTGCTGTTTGTCTGCCCGATGTCCTCCCTCCCGGGAAGCAGCCCAGGTGTTCCTAAGTCGTTCTCGGAGGATTTATCCCACCCCGACTCCCACGCAGAAACCCCTGCTTTACCGTGACATTCCCCAGGCACTTTGTACAGTCTTCAGTTGTAACACTGGGGCTTTGGTGTCACTGCTCACGTGCACTTCACAGCGGCTCTGGGTGCCGGTGGGGCAGAGCCGGGGAGAAGGTGTACCCGAAGCACGGCGCACGGGCCCCTGGTGGCCGGGCTGTGGGAGGGTGGAGAGAGATACCGAGGCGCGGCTGCGCCGAGTTCCCCTGTGAGACGCTGCGAACGGAGCGCACTGCTGAGGAGGTGGCGGGCCTTGCCGCCAGGCTCAGGCTGGACTCTTGGCTCTGTCGGCCACAGAGTTCCCAAAGACACTGTCTTTGTCCGGGCTCCGGTCACCATGATGGTGACAGGGTGTTGAGCACTCACTGAGCCAGGGCTGGGCCTGGACAACCATTCTTATTCCAGGCACCATTCTTGTCGCGGTATCGGGGGTTTCAAAGGAAAGAGAAGAGAGCAAAGGAGGAGGAGGGTCCGTGTCGCTGGAGGGTGCTGTCACTCAGGCCAAAGTGGAGGCGCTTGGAGGTGGGGGCCATTGGTCAGCAATAAGAGAAGAAAACCAAGAGACAAGCCGGGGATTGGCCTGGGAGGGCCCACGAGTGTTCCGGGGGGAGGGCAGGGTTGGTCAGGTGTGTTCTCTGGGTGTGACAAGTAGAGGGCGTGCTCTGGCCCCAGCGTGCCATGGCCACCACCTTGCCTTCCTTTCCGCATCCCACGTAGCTCCATCCCTCGCTCCACAAACACCACGGACAGCGTGAGCTGTCCTGGCAGGGGGTGGGGGCATGTGGGCAGGAGTTGGGGTAGCTGGGCGTGGTTTTGTGTCCCCACAGCCCGTGCTGTGCTCGGGAGGTAACGCAGGGCCCGGACAGCCCTGCCGCGGTCGACCCCGAACCAGCAGGCCCCCGGCAGGTGTCAGAAGGACGGGCCGTGGGCCCGAGAGAGGCGCACACGCTCTGTGCGGGGGCAGCTGCCACCCGGCTACCGGGGTTTGAGTGAGACTGTGGCGTTCTTGGAACAAAATCACAAATCTGGGTTTTTCATATGAAATCTTCCATTGGTTTGCCACCCCTGGCCTTCAAAGTAGGGTTCATGTTGTTCCTGGGGGACCAATGCCCCGGGAGGCCAGGCCCCGAGAGCCACAGGGCAGCTGCTGCAGGCCTAGGAAAAAGATTTTAGGCAGGGGTGAGACGTGGTCAGACTTCGGTGTTAGAGATGAGGAGAGAAACAAAATCAGGGGCCCAGGCTGTCGAGGAGACTGGAGAATTGAATCGGGGGTGACGGGAGCTGGTGTGGGGCTCTGGCCCTCTCCTGCCCCCCAGGAATATGTGCCTGCTGTGGCCAGAACTCTGTTTTTCAAAAGATGCCAATTTTGACGAGAAATTTCCTGATTTTTAAATGTCGACTCAAATTTTGAAAAATATGCTGGGCAGGCCAACAAAACACACTGGAAGTGCCTGGCTTTTCATTCCTGCCTGAAGGTGCGTGGCGCCTGAGAGTCAGGGTGTCTTTGTTCCTCGCGAGGGGCTGGCGTGGAGCCTGGCTGCCTGGGTTCTAGTCCTGGCCCCGGCTTGCCGGTGCCGTGATGGGACGGGGCTTGCACCGTGCCTCAGTGTCCTCGGGTCCAGGCATCTACCCCGCGAGGGACGCCGCTGGGGCACGCGCAGGAAGTGCCGTACGCGTAGCCGCCGTTGTGGCTGTTATTCCCGCAGTGGAGCGGAGGCGGAGGGACAAGATCAACAACTGGATCGTCCAACTCTCAAAAATCATTCCAGATTGTAACGCGGACAACAGCAAGACAGGAGCGGTGAGTGTCCCTGGCCCCGTGGCCAGGCAGCCACCTGACCTCAATGGCTGCAGTGGGCCAGGTCCCCCAGCCCCTTCCAGAAAGTCTGGCCCGGGAGTTGTCCTCCCGGGGTGGGCCCCTGGGCCGAGCGCTCTCACGAGTGGCCCCCGCACCCGCAGAGTAAAGGCGGCATCCTGTCGAAGGCCTGCGATTACATCCGGGAGCTTCGCCAGACCAACCAGCGCATGCAGGAGACCTTCAAGGAGGCCGAGCGGCTGCAGATGGACAATGAGCTCCTGAGGCAGCAGGTGGGTGCCGGGGCTGGAGCTGGGTGGAGCGCCCAGGAGCTCCAGATGTGGGGAGCCAGCCCCGGGCTCCCTTGTCCCCGTTGTGTCTGCCAGATCGAGGAGCTGAAGAACGAGAACGCCCTGCTTCGAGCCCAGCTGCAGCAGCACAACCTGGAGATGGTGGGCGAGAGCACCCGGCAGTGACGCCCGCCCCGCCGCGCAGCCGCTGCCCGCGCCGGCCTCTGCCACCCCTTCCCCAGCCCTTAGCACAGAGAGGGACACACGCCCCTCCCCCAGCTGCGATTTTTTATAGTAGATTTTTAACAAAAACGGGGAGAAATAAGGCATTTCTGTGGATACATTGCCCACCACCCTCAACTTGGAAACAGTGTCCTCCCTCCCCATCCGTCTGTCTTCTCCCTTCTCCCGCCCTCACTAAGCCCCGGCACGTCTGGTTTTCTCACCTGGAGGCGCGAGAGGAGGACAGGCCCTGCCACGTGTGCCGCCTCCTTGGTCTCTAGAGGTGCTGAGACAGGGTGCTTGCGGGAAGGAGGGGAGCCTGTGGGCGCCACCCCGGGGCCTGAGCCTAAGCAGGGAGGCCATGCCCCACCCCACCTCCTGTTTCTGGATCCCTGCTCCCCTTTGGGGGTATGTGTGTATGTGTGTGTGTGTGCGTGTGTGCGCGTGTGTGTGTGTTTTAATTTTCTTTATGGAAAAATGGACAAAAAAATAGAGAGAGAGGTATTTAACTGCAATAAACTGGCCCCATGTGGCCCCCGCCTTGTCTGATGGTGTGTCTGTCCGTGTTGGGAGTGGGGAGGCAGCCCGGGGTCTGCAGAGCCCCATGATGACAGTCCCAGGCGACCCGCACCCCCTGATGCCCACTGGTTGGTTGGGTGGATGGAGGAATTAAGGAATGAATGTCCTCTTTGAGGCTCCAGGTGTGTGTGTGAGGGTGGGGGGGCCTAGGGCCGAGGGCATGTCCCATGGTGGAGGAGAGGCTGGGGTCTCCTATGTCAGCAGTTCCTGAAAACCCGACTGGCTCCTGGCCCTGCACCTCTGGGCTGAAGCCCTCCCCTCTGCACCAGCCAATGGTGGGGCCTGGCCTTGAGCCCCCCCCACCCCCAGGGAGGGCAGATGGCCAGGAAGCCAAGCTTGGCCCGTCAGCCTGTCGCCTTGCGCCGTGGCTCTGGCGCCGGTGCTGTGACCCCTGCCCCTGGCTGATGATGAAACCTGGCCTGAGCCGAGATGCAGCGACGCCTGGCAGGGCTGGGGGCTGCTGCCCGTCTCCCCCGGGTGGGCACGCAGCTACTCACCTGACACTTGGTCCTGCAGCCCCGTTCAGGCCCACCCGCTCCCAGGAGCTGGGCCTGCCCACCGGTCACCTTGCTGAGCCCTCCACCCTGCCCCCAGGCCACGTGCCCCCGACTGGTCTGTCCCGTCGAGAGTCCCGTCTCCTGCTGGCCGTTCCCATGTTAGGCCTCCCGTGCGAGTGGGGAGGCAGTTGGTGGGGGGCAGCCCTCGCTCCCCTAGGGCCCGTCCGTATTTGTGGCTTTGCGTGGGCCTTGGCAGCAGTGTAGCCGCCAGGAAGACGTGTTCGTTCTTTAGCAGCAGCGTTCCTGGCCTCCGGTGACACGGTTGACATAGGATGGCCCTGGAGTGAGACAGAGACAAAGTGGCAAAATGTCCAAGGGCCCATCACTGGAACCAGGGTTTGTGGGTCCCCCTGGGCTGTGCACGCCCTGAGCTGGTCCTGGTAGTGGGTAGGAATGAAGGTGCCACGGTCGGGCAGCCTGGATCTATTCCCCCATCCACTGGTGTCCGGGGAACCAGCTCCCAAAAGAAAGCCCTGGTTTGCAGTGCTTGCCAATGTCCGTGGTGTAAATTCTCCCACCCCTGCTGATGCGGGTAGAACGTGACGCCACTGAACCTGGAGTTGGGATGTTCACGGTCTGCTCTGTTGAGCCAGGTCTGGCGAACCACTGCGCCCTGCTGTTTGGCAGGGAGAGGGGGATAGGAAAGCCTGGTGGTTAACAGCTCAGGCCCAGAGTCAGGCTGGGCAAGCGTGGGCACTGCCCTGGTCTCTGCCTGTGTTTCCTTTCCTGTAAGTGAAGGAAACGACTCTCCAGGGCAGGGAAAGCTCCTAAGAGGGAGCAGGGTCTGGGAAGCCAGGCCCCCCGGGGTCCGGCAGCTGAGAAGGCAGCCAAGGCCCCTAAACCCAGAGCAGAGCCCAGTTGGGGCTGCCGGGAGTTAGAGAACAGGGCACAGGCCAAGGTACCACAGAGGTGAGCCAGCATCTGCGATGCACACGCCAGGTGCTAGCGGTACTGCTGTGTGTCGTGGTCACAAGCTCCCCAGGACATTCTCCAGTTACTGGAGCCGCATCTCAAGGGTCTGTCATTTGAGAGGCGCGATGGGCGCACGCTGGTGCCACCGCCTCTCACCTGGACCTGGCGACCCCGTGTTCCCTGCCAAACCTGTGCGTGTGCAAAGAGAACCTGAAGCCGAGGGGCCTAGTGCGTGCCAGCCCTGCTCTGTGGGAATGAGGGCGTCCAGGAAGGGGGCGGGGAAGGAGAGGGGCTCCTCCATGCTGCTCACTGACCTGAGGCAACAGGGTGGCGTCATGCTGGGGAAAGGGTTCCCTCGGTGGCTGCCCAGCAGCATGTGTCTGCGGCCCCATCTACCCCGCCCCCAGACATACCTCTGCTGGCCGAGGGTGACACAACCCTGTTCCCTGTCACTCTGTTCCCGCTTATCTCCCGCCTTTTCGGCGCCACCACCTTCTTGGAAATGAGTTAGGGCAAAGGGGAGGGGGCTCAGACCACCGCCTTCCCCAGCGGGCCCCATAAAAGCCGCTGTAACTGGGTCCCAGACACAGAGCAAGTTCTAGACCCAACAGGACAGCCAGACAGACGGCGCGATGGCACTGAACACTCAGATCCGGGCCGCCTGCGTCCTCCTCCTCCTCCTCCTCGCCAGCCTGACCAGTGGCTCCATCTTCCCACAGCAGGTGAGAGCCCACAGGACCCGGGTCCTAGCAGGGCAGCGGGGGAGGGAGAACCAGACCCCTGGGAGGGGCCACTGCAGGCTACGGGAGACCCCAGCACAGGGCAGAGCTCAGGACAGCTCAGGGGGCCTGGCAGCGGCTTAAAGAACAGGGATGGAGGACCTGGTGGCGGGGCCAGGGGAATGGGGTCCCGGACTAATTACTCCGGTATTTACTGAGCAACTACTCGGTATCAAGTCTTGCCCTAGACGGGGGATAAAACAACGAACAAGGTAGATGAGAGAGAAGAGTTGCTCTCACGGAGCACAGCCTGGTCGAGGAATTAGTTAATGAATGATTAAAACATAAACAGTGGTGTTTAGTAAACGGCGTTCAGAAATAACATAAAGGACGGTGGTAGCGTGACCGTGGGGGCCCGCAGACGGGGTCAGGCGGCGGCCAAGCAAGTGTTTGGAGAGCAAATGAGACTTGACCTGTGCCTCGGAGGCTAAGAGATGAGACTGAGGGGCGGCAGGGTACCGATCACGCAAAGTCTCCCGGGCAGCTGTGCAGACACTGGTTTTTCCTCCGAGTGCGGGGGAAACCCCATCAGCTTTTAAAACGGGGAAAGGCGCGATCTGGCCACGTCGAAAGTCTCTGCTGTGTGGCGGGCGGACTGTATGTAAGAGGCGACATGCGGGACGGGCGAGGAGGCTGGCGGAGGGCGACGTCCGAAACCAGAGTGGAAGCCACGAGGGGAGCAGGAGACAGGTCTGGGAGGCTTTTAGGAAGCAGAGCTGCTGGGGAGTGTGAGTGACAGCAAGAAGGCCAGGCCCTGCCTTGGGCCCAGCTGGGCGCGAGGTCGCCAGTCACCCGCGTCTGAGACTCCTCAACACCCCTTCTTCTTCCCCAGACGGGACAGCTCGCAGAGCTCCAGCGCCAGGACACAGCGGGAGCCAGGGCCGGCTGGACGGTGAGCGCACAGAGATGCCCTTCCCCGCGCCCCCCTTCCCCGCCCGGCCCCGCCCCGCTCACTGTCCCTTCCTTCCCGCAGCACGTGCTCCAGCGGCGAAGCCGGCGAGACGCCCACTTCCCCATCTGCATTTTCTGCTGTGGCTGCTGTCGGAAATCGAAGTGTGGGATGTGCTGCAAGACGTAGAGCCTGCCCGCCCCGGTCGTCCCCCCCCTTATTTATTCCTGCCGCCCCCGCACTGGTCTTGGAATAAAATGACTGCTTCGAGCTTCTGTTTTCCAAACGGGAGTGTCTGCTGTCCTTTCTCCCGGCCTGTGCCAGGGCCGGTGCTGGGTGGGGTGCGCGGGGTTGGTGTGTGCTGGAGGCTGCCAGATTCTTGGTGAAGCAAATGTGTTTTCTGTTCTTTCCCTTCTTTCTGCACTTCAAAAGACCTGGAATTTACGTTGCAACAGCAAGACATGAAAGTTAAACAAAGTTTCCTCTCCTTGAAACAAAGACTTCAAGTTTGTTACCCATTTGGTAACAAACCTAAATGCCTAGGAGGGTTCTCACAGCAAGACCCAGGGCTCCTGCCAGGGCTGCACAAGGTGGAAACTACTGAGACGTTATTTGCTATTTTCACTCTCCTTCCCTCCTGAGTGTACAGTGCAGTTTTCCTGAGGCTTCATGACACGTGACGACATCATCGCTGTGTTGGCTAAGGGATTGTGTGCTTGTGTATCTTGGGCTTTAAAAATTCCCAGTGTCACTTTCTAATACATTAAGCAACTAGAGATATAATCTACCTATACAAGAGCTTTTTGGAGACCTCACAAATTTTTCGGAGGGGAAAAGGATCCTAAGACCAGTTTGAGAACCATGACCTTCAGGGGCCAGAAAGATCAAGTAAAGCAGTGAGGCAAGTTGGATTTGTTTTGTAGGAGCGTCTTAAATTGTATTCTCTCTATAAGAACATACTTTGCACTTGAAACGCTTAGGAATATGGTTCACCTCCACGAGGAATTAAGTTCCCTCCCATTCTTCTTGGAAACAGTATCTCTCTCATTCTGATTGCCCCACTTCTGACAGAAACAGAGACACAAGATGTATTTCACTATTCTCTTAGCGTATAAGAAAACACCGGCATTCCCATGACGGTAAACGACATTGGCCATCGGCCTCAATGTTGGGCATGGACAGGGGGTGGGGGGCCCGGGCCCATCGGAACACGGCTACAAGAGTTGGCCACCGCGCCTGCAAGTGAGCAAAGCTGGCTAGACCTGCTGAATTTTTCAAATGGAAAGGTGGGGAGAGAAAGGAGCAGGGGAGAGCTTGGCCTCCTGTTTCCGAAGCACCTTGCTTACATCTTCTTCCCAACCAGAGCTCCGCCTCCTCACCTTTAAAAGGGGAGAAGCATCTCTTTAGTACTTAGTTCATCTGGCTGTGGAGCTGTCCAACCAAGGGGATGAGGGTGAAATTGTTTGGGAAGTTGACAAATGCCTCATAAATGTAAAGGATTAGTATTGACAGGGGAGGGTGGAGACCTCTCCCAGCCCCTCCTAACTTGCCTGGGAGGTGGGAAACCAGAAATCGCCAATTACAGATAACACGCGGTGCTCTCAGCTCTCTTTGGCAAACAGTTCTCCGGGGTGGTCCCAGAGATGCCAGAGGATATAAACCAGAAGTCTTCAAAATTTAGCGAGCATCCCAGTATCCCGGACGGCTGGTAAAATGCGGATGGCTGGGCCTCACTACCAGAGTTCCCGATTCCGCAGGTGCAGGGAGGGGCCTAGAACTTGCATTTCTAGTAAGTTCCTGAGGGCAATGCTGACATTTTGGGTTGGGGGAGCCCATTTTGGGGACCCATTGTGGGAAGCTGCCAGCACTGACTGAGGGCAGCACGTGCCTCTTGACTGGACCAAGCCCCAGCTCCCATCCAAGGGAGCTTTTGTGGGGAAGCCTGAGAGCTTGATTCTGCCTGGAGATGAGTTTTGCTTGGTCCGCACAATATTTATTTCATTTCATTTCATAATTTTATTTCAGAGACAAGACCTTGCTCTAACACCCAGGCTGCAGTGCAATGGTGTGATTACAGCCCACTGCAGCCTCGAACTCCTGGGCTCAAGCGATCCTCCTGCCTCAGCCTCCCAAGTAGCTGGGACTATAGGCAAGTGCCACCACACCTGGCTAATTTTTCATTTTTTCGTAGAGACAGGTTCTCAGTATGTTGCCCCGGCTGGTCTTGAACTCCTGGGCTCAAGCAATCCTCCCGCCTCCGCCTCCCAAAATGCTGGAATTACAGGCGTGAGCCACCGTGCCTGGCCGCACAGTATTTCAGATAAAATTGGGCTAATACCTAAAAACCAGGACATTTCACATAAAAATCTGAATTCCTGCTGTTATAGGTTAAACTGTGTCCTCCCCAAAATTCATGGTGAAGTCCTAACCCCCAGTAAGTCAGAATGTGACCTTAGTGGGAGGTAGGGTCTTCGCAGAGGTAATCAAGTTAAAATGAGATAACTGCAGTGGGTCCTAATGCAATATGACTGATGTCCTTATAAAAGGGGGACATTGGGACAGAGACACGCACAGGTAGAACACCGTGGGCGACGAAGACAGCCGTCTACAAGCCCAGAGAGAGGCCTGGAACAGACCCTCCCTCAAAGGCCCTCAGAAGGAACCGACCCTGCAACACCTACATTTCTGATTTGAAGGTTCTAGAACTGTGAGATGATAAATTCTGTTTTTAAGCCACCCATTTTGTGGTGCTTGGTTCCGGCAGCACCGGCAAACTAACACGCCCGCTTTCTCATGGAAGATCAGCCGATTGGGCAGCACTTGCCCTGGGTCCCCGGTAGATGGGCACCTGCTCTCCAGGCCGCCGGCCCCGCACCCAGCCCCTCCCTCTCACTCACTCCCGTGGGCTGGAGCCCTGAGACCCAGATCGCAGGTTGCAGCAGCAGTCGCCAGCGCTCTCCGCAGGACGCACCTGCCTGCACGTCCTCCCCCAGGAGCAGCCTTCGATCCCCACTCAGGGAGATGCAGGGACCCATCTGCAGCCCCGGGAGGAGACACAGCCCCAGACTGCACAGCACACGGGGTTGGTGTGGACGCTAAGGGCTGTGGCGTGCGAGCACCCCAGGATCTTGGTGTCCTCCCCCAAAGCCCAGGCACCAGGCCCCTCTCTTCTCCAGCGGGACCCAGGCGTCCAAGCCCCACCCCACTCTCAATGGGCCTTTGTCCCTGCCTGGGAAAGGCACGGGCAGAGTCTGACATCATGAAGCTGAGGTGGGGGTGGGACTCCCCCTCCCCCTCCAGCCTTCCCCTGACTCCTCGCTCTGGGTCTGAGGGATTTCCCCGCCCCTCACCCCCTGGGTTCTCCCCTGGGAGAAAGGACCCTCCTTCCCCATGGCTCTGGCCTGGAAGAGGACGTCCCAGTGTGGCTGAACAGCTCGTGGTCAAACCTCTGCTACACTTGATCACACCACCTCCAGCTCCCCACACCCCATCTTGCAAAGGTCGTGACCAACGGGAGGGGCTGCAGTGGCAGCAGGACCACTGTGGCATCTGCACACAGAGGGTCCCCACCCAACTCAGAGTCAGCGCAGCCCTCTGCACCCAGCAGAGGGGTCCAGGGACACAAGGGTGCACAAGACGGACAGACAGGTTTCGGCTGCAGCCCTGCCCTCTGAGAGCCCCAGGCCAGCGGAGAGGCCAGCACGCTGAGAGCACGAATGGGCAAGCGCGCCAGGGCTGTGCGAGGACAGCACTGCCGTGGAGGGGCTGGGCGGCAGGGGCGAGAGGAGCCTTCCCGAGGGAGCCACATCTGGGCAGCTGAGCCTAAAGGATGAGCCGGCTGTGGCCAGTGCCGGAGCGGGCAGTGCCATGGGGTGGGGACAGCTTTCCAGGGAGAAGGAGCAACAGGTACAAAGGCCCTGAGTCCAGAGATGCCACAGTGTCTTGGAAGGACACATTCAGCCATGCCCTCCACATTTATTAAGCTCCACTGCATGCCAGGAGCTAGTCTACGGGCTGCCGTCCATGAGAAGGAGGCAGACAGAGCCCCCGCCCTCGTGGAGGAGGACAGTTGACACGTATGGTCATTTTAGATGGCAAGAGAAGCCGAGAGGAAAATGGACCAGGGTGACCGAGGGAGAAGCCACTCTGGAGAGGGCGGGAGGGCCCTGTCTCCTCCCCCTGCCCACACCAGCCTCTGCTGGCCCCTTGGGACTGAGGTTGCACCTGACGTTGCCAGAGGACAACGCCTCCTGTCCCTCAGCCTGGGACTTCCAGAGGGATTAGACTGCCTCCCCAGAGACCCAGAATCAGGGTGCACAGTGACGGAGGAGGGAGGAACGAGCAAGGCAGCCCCCCATCCCTCCAGGAAGGAGCTCGTAGAACCCAGGCATCAGGCTGCCCTGTCCGAGCCCCGTGGTGACAAGGGCCCCTTTGTGCCCCCCTCCCCCGGGGGCAGGGAGGAGCTGGGCCCTGGAGGCAGGCGGCCCCTGGCACCCGGGGGGAGGGGAGGGGCCGGCAAGTGGGGGCCTAGACCCTGCGAGGCAGGGGACTGCGAGCTGGGCCGGTGGCGGGCGCAGAGGCACGGAAGCAAGAGCACCCAAGTGAGTGCGCGCCGGGAGGCTGGGCCGCGGGGGAGCAGAGCCCTGGGCAGCACCCACGGCAGGGCGAGGTCAGGTGCTCTGGATGAGGGAGGGTCAAGGCGAATGGCCACTGATTTAGGACGCAGGAGGGTGTGGTTTGGGCCCGCTTTGGGAATGGGCTGGGACGAGGGTAGGGACAGCAGCGAGGGGGCTTTGGGAAGAAACCGGTGAGAGAAAGAACAAAAGGCACCTGGCCGCCCCTCCTAGCTGGAGGTTCTGCAAGCACAGCTCCCCTGGGCTCCCGAGTGCGGGCAGAGGGGGTGGAAGTGCCTGGGGCTGGGGCAGAGCGGAAGGGTGCCCGGGTGATCAGGCACTGGCACCCGCAGTCCGGGGGTGGGCGGGGGCCGTGGGCTGTGAGCGAGCGAGTCCCAGCACCCGGGCGCGTGACAGGTGTGCGCGCACGTGTGTGCCCTCCCACGCACCGCTCCTGTGCGAGTCTGTCTGCACCGGTGATTCTCAACTTTTTTCATCATGCCTCACTGGGGAAACTTCTGGAGTGTTTTTGCTAATCCCATCCCTCCCTTGAAATTTTCACACTGCACATACGCCGTGTGTACGCTTGTGGATGTGGCCCTTTAGAGAGCACGACACATTGTAACAGCAAAGACTGCGTTGGCCCCACCCGGGAGCAGTCTGGTCGTTAGACGTGCATGGCCTGCGCGCCCGTGCGCCGTCCTCACCTGTGTCTGTCTCCTGTACCGTCCTGTTGCAGGTGCAAGGGTGGCATCTGCCACGTGTCCGCCGGCGTGTGTCTGGGCGGACCCGTCTATAGCCGCAGCTCAGTGTGTGTGTGCAGGTCCTTGTGTCGCTGTGAGCCGGGCACGCAGGCAGGGCTGCAGGTGGGCCTGAATGCCGGGCCCTGTGTCTGTCCAGGTGTGTGTGGAGCCCAGGCGTGCCTCTGTGGCTGTGTGAGCGACGGCACATCTCTGTGGGGACAGGGGTCTCGGTGCCCGCATGTGTCTCTGTTGTGTGAGCCTGCTTCTTCCGGCTGGGACGAGATCTGTCACATGTCATACCAGCGTTCGGATGTGTCTGACTGCAGGAGTCTGTGTCCGTGGGAAGAGGGCAGCGGAGGCTGGGAAAAGCAGCCACTTGGAAACCCTGGCTCCAACCCCAAGGCGACCCACAGGGCAGCCGGGGGCCCGAGACTCGTGAACCCTGACCCCAGTCCTTCCTGGCCCCACTCAAAGCCCAGCCAGGAGTGCTGACTCCTCTCTAGCTCCCCACCTACCCTGGAAGCCCCCCCAGGACGAGGCACCCTGTCCCCAAGGGAACAGGACTCTTTTGTACCGGGCGCTGGCCTCTGGAGAGGGTGGGGACGCCAGGGGCCGTCTGTGGGGTGGGAGAAGGCGGCAGGAATTCACGAGGCATGTTGGGAATGCTGATGCCGTGAAACCCAGTCATTGATGGGACCGAGTCCCTGCTGGCCACCCCCAGGCCTCAGCCGTGGGACATCTGCTCCCTCGCCCGCTCGCCACACCCCCTGCCTCATCCCCATGCTGCTGTCTCCTCCCCTCCCCACCGTTCTCCCACATCCCCGCTTGGGGGGAGGTGTCGCCGTGGAGTAGCTTTGCGGCTGTGTGGGAGGGTCCCGAGCGTCCACGGAAACAGAGACCACGTGGGCAGCCTTACAACAGGCCGCGACCCCTGCAGGAGACGCCGCAAGCACAGGGTGGTGGGTGCTCAGGCCACTGCCCCCTCGCATCCGTCTGACTCTCCTTCCAGGTCGGCTGGCAGCCTCAGTGGAACCAGAGGACATTCCCCACTCAGGGAGATCGAGGTGAGGGTCAGGCACCGCCTTCCCCTTCCTCCTGGCTTCTCTTACTGCCTGCTGCTGGCCCAGCCTCGATTCTTCACTTTCTGGAGATCCCCAGGGGCATAACAGCAGTTAAGACTGCCAACTAGCTGTGTGGCCTTGGGTAAGTTACTTAACCTCTCTGGACCTTGGCTATACAATGAGGTTAATAATCGGCACCTACCTCAAAGACATCAAATGAGATAACAGAGCAAAGTAGAGCACTGAGGCCTGGCACAGGGCCAAAGCCATGTGTTTGTAATTATAAAAAATTATGAATAATAGCAGGAGCGGCTCACACAGGCCTTGACGGAACACCCCGTCCTCCTGCGCTGGACGTCTCTGACCCTCTCCTCTCCTCCCCAGCTGTCGCTCGCTTGCTGCGCAACATGATATTCCTCACGGCCCTGCCGCTGTTCTGGATTATGATTTCAGGTAATGGCTGCGGGTCCCGGCCCTCGAGCAGGCTGGGGCTGTTTCTGTGGGTCCCTGGCCCCCAGGCCAGTGGCAGCGGATGGGAGCAGGAGGGGGTGATCCGGGGGGGACCTGACCCTCAGCCTCAGCGCCCCCGCTCTCCCACAGCCTCCCGCGGGGGCCACTGGGGGGCCTGGATGCCCTCGTCCATCTCGGCCTTCGAGGGCACCTGCGTCTCCATCCCCTGCCGCTTCGACTTCCCCGACGAGCTGCGGCCTGCGGTCGTGCACGGCGTCTGGTACTTCAACAGCCCCTACCCCAAGAACTACCCCCCGGTGGTCTTCAAGTCACGCACCCAGGTCGTCCACGAGAGCTTCCAGGGCCGCAGCCGCCTCCTGGGGGACCTGGGCCTGCGCAACTGCACCCTCCTGCTCAGCAGCGTCAGCCCCGAGCTGGGCGGCAAGTACTACTTCCGCGGGGACCTGGGGGGCTACAACCAGTACACCTTCTCCGAGCACAGCGTCCTGGACGTCATCAGTGAGTCCCCCAGAGGTGGCGCGGGCAGCGAGGGGCGGGGGTGTCCCCTCCAGCACCTCCCCAGGAAGGGGGACGGCAGATCCGGGAGGCGCTGGTTTGGCTGCAGGCGCAAACCTCGATGCCACAGACCATGCGGACGACAGAAATGAACAAAGCAGGGCCCAAAATAGTCTTGCTGCCCCCAGAGGAGCCCAGGTGCTCTCACCCTTCTAGAAACAACCCGCTGCGGCCCAGGGGTTGGGGGCAAGGCCCCTGGATCGCTGCTTGAGCGAGGTCACCCTGGGCAAGTCACTTACCTTGCCTGGGCCTCGGTCTCCTCTTCTGTGAAACAGGGACAAGAACGGCACTTTATTAAAGCCAATGAGTGAATAGTCGCCAAGCGCTCAGAGCAGGGCCTGGCACGTGGCGCCCAGCTCTGGCTGACGGAAAGCAGCCCCACGCTGTCAGCTCTCAGAACTGTTAATTACCGTTTTTATAATGTAATCTCTTAATTATTAAATATCGGCTAATTCAGATATTTAAAAAATGTTTTTTTAGGCCAGGCCAAATAAAATGCAGCTGTGGCCAGATTTGGAGATCAGAATAGGGCCCTCTGCCTGATATCTGAGAGGCCCTACCCCTGGAGGCCTTAGATTCAGGTTTCCCAGAGGATTGAGGCTATAGAAGGAGCCAGATTACAGCCGTGGTGTAGGAAGAGGCCACACAGGTGCAGCTCACATGCGTGCACACACACACCCTACACACACACACACGCCCTACGCACACTACACACTACATACAACACACACATCACCCACAGCATACACACAGATGCAAGTGAAGGAGAAAAGCAAAGCTCACAGGGAGAGGGGAGAGGTCAAGGGCACAGAAGCTGAACCAGAGTGACGGGGTTTGGAGCCCAGTCTTACCCGGTACTAGCTGTGGCCTCAGTTTCCTCATTTGCAAAATGAGCAAAGTAACAGCACCTGCCGGCATCGCTCACAGGCCCAGGCCGGTTCGGCGCCGTGGGGTGCTCGGGCAGCTGCTGTGACTTCTTCTCCTCCCGCCTGGATCTGCGGAGGGTTTCTGGGTCAAACGTGACCTAGAAGGGGAAGGCGGAAGGGAATTCTCCCCCAGAGATGGGGGAGCGGACCAGGTACCCGCAGTGGAGTAGGGAAAGGTGGGGGGACCCGTAGCCCCGTGCTGTTCCTCATCCCTCCTTCTCCCACCTCGTGCAGACACCCCCAACATCGTGGTGCCCCCGGAGGTGGTGGCAGGCGCGGAGGTGGAGGTCAGCTGCATGGTGCCGGACAACTGCCCAGAGCTGCGCCCGGAGCTCAGCTGGCTGGGCCACGAAGGGCTGGGCGAGCCGGCGGTGCTGGGTCGGCTGCGGGAGGACGAGGGCACCTGGGTGCAGGTGTCGCTGCTGCACTTTGTGCCCACCAGGGAGGCCAACGGCCACCGGCTGGGCTGCCAGGCCTCCTTCCCCAACACCACCCTGCAGTTCGAGGGCTACGCCAGCCTGGACGTCAAGTGTGAGCCTGGGTGCGGGCCGGGGCGGGCCGGGGGCGGGCCGGGGCCGGGGCTGCCGCACCTGCCCGCTAACCCCGGGTGGTGTCGTGGGCCTCAGACCCCCCGGTGATCGTGGAGATGAACGCGTCGGTGGAGGCCATCGACGGCTCCCCCGTCAGCCTGCTCTGCGGGGCTGACAGCAACCCCCTGCCGCTGCTGACCTGGATGCGGGACGGGTCGGTGCTGCGGGAGGCGGTGGCAGAGAGCCTGCTGCTGGAGCTGGAGGAGGTGACCCCCGAGGAGGACGGCGTCTACGCCTGCCTGGCAGAGAACGCCTACGGCCAGGACAACCGCACCGTGGGGCTCAGCGTCATGTGTGAGTCACTCGCGGGGGGACCCACGGCGAGCGATGGGGGCAGAGTGGCCTCCCCCAGGGCGAGCCTGGGCCGGAGTCGCAGTGGAGGGCGCGGGTCAAGGTGTTCCTTTCGTTTCCACAAGCATCTGGAGCACCTGCGGGCACCGCTCTTACTGCAAGGCACGATCCTTGCCCCTGTTAAATAGTTTCCTGGGGGCAGCACTGGGCGGGTCTGGTGTAGATGTGGGCCTGGCCCAGGAACCTGCATTTTTAAAATGAACCCCGTTGTAGTTCTAATGGAGAGCTGGGGGGACCCCAGGCCTCACCCGGCCCCTTATGTGCACGCGTACGTTATGGGGCGGCCGGAAGGGTGCTGGTCAGAACAGGATTCTTAGCTGGGAAACAAGAAGAGGCCATTCATTCATTCATTCACAAATATTTACTGAGGCACAGTGCCCGGGGCTGAGGATAACGACAGGGACAGCCACAGCCAACATTTACTCGGCAGTGTCTGAGCTTCACGCACACACTCGTCCCCAGGGCACCCACCTAGGTTCACTGACACCGTCCCGCACTATCCTATTTAAAACTAGCTATCTTGATTTCCCATCCTCTCGCCATCTTTATTTTTCATCACAGAACTTGCCCCCTTCTTGCTAAGTACATGTTTTATTTACTTATGTAGCATCGCCCCACGTGGGCCTTGTTCAAGCTGGAACAGTGCCTGTTACTCAGCAGTTCTCAGTGAATGTTGGAGGATCATCTCTGTGAGGTTGGAACTATTATTAAACCCATTTTCCGGATGAGAAAAGTGAGGCCCAGAGGTATTAAGACATGTGTCCACACACAGCCAGGAAGGGGATCCAAAGAGAGGCACTCTGGCTGCAAAGCCCCCGTTCTTGTACACAAGACATCCAGGACTGGGGTTACCCGAGCCATCCTGAACTGGTGTGCTGGGTTCGGGGTGTCTGGGGTCATGTTTGAGGGGGCAGAGTTGGCTGGCAGAAGAAGCGCCTTCTGGTTCTGACCATCAGCTCCCTGTCCTGCCCCGCCAGATGCACCCTGGAAGCCGACGGTGAACGGGACAATGGTGGCCGTGGAGGGGGAGACGGTCTCCATCTTGTGCTCTACGCAGAGCAACCCGGACCCTATTCTCACCATCTTCAAGGAGAAGCAGGTCCTGGCCACCGTCATCTACGAGAGCGAACTGCAGCTGGAGCTGCCGGCAGTGAAGCCTGAGGATGACGGGGAGTACTGGTGTGTGGCTGAGAACCAGTACGGCCAGAGGGCCACTGCCTTCAACCTGTCCGTGGAGTGTGAGTACCCGCCATGTCCCGCCCCACGCGCAGGTGGATGGCTCAGTGGGGGACACCTGGATTTCTGAGAGGTGCCCGTGCGTCCCAGCCGGTGTCAGCCCTGCCCTTCCTCACCCGCAGGTAGGGAGGGCAGGGAAGCTGAATCCACAGCAAGAAAATAGAAATCCCTTCTGAGAATACTGTGTTCCTGCATCCTAGGGTGGGCTTTTGACCAGGTAGATTTCTGGGTCCTGTGGCCACCGAACCTCTGCATGAACTGAAACAATAGCCGTGATATCTAACCCTGGTAGAGTGTCGCTATGGGCTAGGCACTGTTGGAAGCGCTGCACAGGGACCCACTCATTTCATCCTCATGACATCCTTACGAGAGGTTCGATTACTGTCCCTAGTTTACAGAGAAGGAAACTGAGGCCCAGAGACGTTATGCCATTTGCCCAAGGTCACATGGCTAAGAAAATAGCATAATTTGAGATTTAAATCCAGGCCGTGTGGTTTCACTCTTCTGTACTGCCCAAAGTTGACCTCATGCTATGTTCTGACATCAGAATACATTGATGGAGCAATTGTTATGTGCCAAGGGCTGTTCAGCTCTGTGAGAGGTGGCGGGTAGGACCGAGAGGACACCAGGCTTGTAACAGATGCAGTGTAGCTAGAGAGATGAGACGGACACACACAAAAAGCTGCTCTCTTGGAAATGAAACTCATCATTGCTCTGCAAACTGGCACCTCCCCTGACCTCCTCTCTGTGGGCAGCACCGCGGACCCTGGGCCCCAGCCCCACACCCGGCCGTCCCACCAGGTTGCAGTGGCCACGTCAGTTTCCACTCCCCTTCCGCAAGCAGCTCCCCCTGGAATGTCTCCTCCTGCTTCCTCCTCAGCTCCTTTCTGGCCTCTGGCATTAGTCTAGAAACTACGATGGCCCTCCCCACACAAGTTTGCCAGAAGCTTCAATGAGATTCGACATGTGAAGCATTCGGTAGCGTGTCTGCTGCGTGGCACGTGCTCCGTACTCTGCACGTGGCCATGATCAGTACCCGGTAGACCCGGCTCATTCCTGCAGTGCCACCTCCCACGGCAAAGCTGAGGCGGCCCACTCCTCTGCCGACAGTGATCTTCCAGCGTGTGCGTCCGCGGCTCCGCTCCCTCCGTCGTGGCGTATGGCTGTAGAGTACCCTGCTCTCCCGTCCCCACGTGCCCTCGGGGCTGGCCAACCCATTCTCCCGTTACACCCCACGCCGGTGATTCTCACGTTTAAGAGTCAGAGAACCCCCTGAGGATGTCACGGAAGCCTCTGCACGTGCACTGGCCTCTCACGTGCGTCCTCGGCTCGGTCACAGACCCCTGTGTGTAACTAGCAGCAGGCAGCAAACATTCGTTGAGGAATTGCACCCTCCGCAGGGGTTATCTTGTGGTCACCCCATGAAACAGGTGCGTGTTATTATTATCCCTCTTCACGGGGGAGAAAACTAAAGGCTGGAATTCCCGGAAGCCGTGTAGCCATGTAGCTAGGAAGGTCGCTCAGAGCCAGGATTCTTCCAGACTCCTGTCTGCCCCAGCTGTTGGACTTCCGGCGGCTTCACCTCCTCACAGCCCTGGATGCCCAAGCACTCACTTCATCTGGCTTCTCTTGAAATCCAATCACAGACTGGGAGTGGGTGGCCTTCGGCCTGCTGGCGTGGAGGGGCGGCGGTGGCCCTGTCCCCCGCCCCACCTGCTAGCTCCTCACTCCTCTCCAAGGCCCGTGGCAAAGTGCCGCGCTCTGTGCGTGCACCTGACGTCCCCTGGCACCAGAGCGTTCGTGTTCACTGCCAGTGGTGGGCGATCCTCGGGCAGGGCACCCACCGGTCCTACCTGCCCGCCCCAGGGCCCCGCACGGCACGGGCCGTGCAGGAGGACCACCCTCAGCGAGTGTGGTCGACGTGTGGGCGACGGGTCTGAGCGCGTTACGTATTGACGTGTTTTGTTCTCACAACCACGCGAATGGGGAGAGGACGGGTCCTCACCCCAGTCTAACACCAGGAAACTGAAGTCTCACCCGTGTCCGGGGCTGAATCCCAGCTCCGTCTCCGGCTCGCTGTGTGACCTCAGGCAAGTGACTTAGCCTTTGCCAACCCCCAGCCCCATCCTCCGAAAAAGGGTTTGAATACAGTTTCCACAGAGACAGCTGTAGGACTAGGAGAATGACGCTGAGTGTCGCCAGCGCCTGACGCTGCTACGTGCTCCATAGATGTCCCATGTCACCGTCTTTCCCCCTGATCCTCCCTTTGGACTCCAGGTTGGGAATCTGCCATGCGTTCTGCCACCGAGGCTTTGCTCACGGGCTCCCTCTGCCGGGACGGCTCAAGCTGTCTGGCCATAATTACTTGGGTGGGACATGGAGTGTTCGTGACACACTTGTGGCCCATTTCGGAGTCCCATCGACCCCTGTGAGTTGAGGACCGTGAGCCCTGTCTGAGCAGCTGAGAGCTGCGTCGTGGAGGCCCAGGGAGGCTGCGTGGCCTCACCCGGCCAGCAGGTGGCAGGGCTGGGATTCCAGCCACAGCCTTCCGGTCCCAGACTCCCCGTTCTGGGTACCCTTGTCTTTGGGGTTCGTCTCACGTCATATCAGGGGCTCAGAGTCCTTCCCGGCTGCACACGCACAGGCAGGGTGCTGGCCTTGCCCCAGAGGCTGGGCGGACGCTTGTCACTGAAGCACCGGCAGGGCCATCTTGAATGGAAAGTTTAAAAAAGTTGGATCTCCTTTTAGTTCAGGTTTGTTGTTATTAATTTACTCCGTGGCGTGTTAATTGGTTAACTCCACAGTGGACATAATGCCCGTCTGTCCAAAGAGAATTTGGAGCCCGTCGTTTTGTATTTAGTAGACTCGGAGACGTTTGCACTGAGGTTGCAAGACCTGCAGCGAATGCACCTGCTGGCGCGATTCCCTCGCGCGTCACTGCTACCGGCATATTCTTTTAGGCTGGAAGTTGAAAATAAGTGGGGTAGGTGGGCCAAGGGTCTTTTGCCCGTGTGTGAGTGGGTTTGGGGCCAGAACTGAGACGGATGCTGAGTCTAGAGCAAGCAGAGGAGGGAAAGAGAACATAGTTTAAAAAGAGACGTTCAATGCTATAATGCAACTTCTTATTTTGGAAAATGAAAGGAAAAAAAAAACCACACCAGTACTATTTTTGTAATCAAATGGCAGAAAAGCAAAGCTCAACAGAATGGCTTTGGGTGGAAGGTGGTGTCTGGCGCTGGTGGCAATGGGGAGCACAGGCAGATGTGGAGGGGCTGAAAGCGGGGAGCAGAGGCGGGTGGGGGGGTGCCGGTGGGGGGCGCTGGGAGAGCTCAGGAGCTCCTCCCCGCTAAGGGGGCGCAGAGCGGAGACAGAGCAAGCCGTCTTGGTGGAAATAAGAGACCAACCATACCGGCATGGAATGTGGGCAGGGACAAGTGACAGGGAGTGGATGATGAGTGGAACAAACACAGCTTCCACGGTGCTCAGAGGCAGGACCTGCAGGGAGCGAGGGAGGACGTTTGCAGGTACCTGAGGCAGGTGTTCCAGGTTGAAGGAGAAACAGGTAGACCCTGCGGTGGGAAAGAGCTCTGAGCTTGAGAAACGGCAAGGAGCCCAGTGTGGCTGGAAGGGACTGAGCCAGAGGAGGGCGGGGGAGAAGGAGAGGGAGCGTGGCCGGGGCCTGAGGGGCCTTGTACACCAAAGAATTTGTTTTTTATTTTTATTTTTTATTTTTTTTGAGACAGAGTCCCACTCTGTTGCCCGGGCTAGAGTGCCGTGGTGTCATCCTAGCTCACAGCAACCTCAAACTCCTGGGCTCAAGTGATCCTCCTGCCTCAGCCTCCCGGGTAGCTGGGACTACAGGCATGCACCACCGTGCCTGGCTAATTTTTTCTATTTTTAGTTGTTTGGCTAATTTCTTTCTATTTATAGTAGAGATGGGGTCTCGCTGCTGCTCAGGCTGGTCTCGAACTCCTGAGCTCAAGCGATCCTCCCGCCTCAGCTTCCCAGGGTGCTAGGATTACAGGCACCAGCCACCGTGCCTGGCCAAGAATTGGATTTTATTCTAAGTGACCCAGGGAGCCACCGGAGGAGGGTTTTGAGCAGGGAGTGCCATCATCTGATTATGTTCCGAGGTGAACACAGACAGCATAAGAGACCGTGCAAAGCGGGAACGCGGCTCACCTCTGCGGGAATGTTCCTTCCGTGCTGAACCCGAGGCTGGAGTCGCCCGCTTTTGGGGCCACTAGGGAAGTTTCCACAAGGGAGTACCCCAAACTGTCCTGAGATGAGGCTGATTTGGCTTCCAGAAGGAAGCATGAAATGCCAGTCCAAAGCATTTACTAGGGGACCCTACAGAGTACCGCGGAGTGTCCTGCAGGCAGCGAGAGGGAGGGATGTTCTGCCCAGCTTCGTCTCCACCAGGCGTTCAGGGTACGGAGTTTACAGGAGGGTTTAGGACTTTGGCTCAGGGCCGGGCTAGTTTCTTTCAGGGTTGTGGACAGCAACCTAAACACCTGTGTCAGTGCCTGGGAATGTTCGAGGCCCCAGCTTGGGTTCAAGCCCGCGTTGGGGGAGAAACATGCAGCCGGCCGGGTCGCAGAGCGGTCAAGGCCCTCTGTGTTTCTCAGGGCAGAGAAAAAGTGGGGGGACTGGCTACCGCCCCCACCCTCGGCCACCCTGGCCTGGCCTCAGCCGAGGGGTCCCCCGAGGCGCAGCCCCACCCACGCTGGCCCCAGCCACCGTCGTCTCTGTCTTTCCCTGCAGTCGCCCCCGTGATCCTCCTGGAGTCGCACTGCGCGGCGGCCCGCGACACGGTGCAGTGCCTGTGCGTGGTGAAATCCAACCCGGAGCCGTCCGTGGCCTTCGAGCTGCCGTCGCGCAACGTGACGGTGAACGAGACCGAGCGGGAGTTCGTGTACGCGGAGCGCAGCGGCCTGCTGCTCACCAGCATCCTCACGCTGCGCGGCCAGGCCCAGGCCCCGCCCCGGGTCATCTGCACCTCCAGGAACCTCTACGGCACCAAGAGCCTGGAGCTGCCCTTCCAGGGAGCCCGTGAGTGGCGTGGCCCGGGGGCGGGATCCACGGGGGGACTGCACGTGGAGCCGGGAGCCCCCATGCCAGTCGGTGCCAGGATGTGCCGGCTCTGGGAATCTTTCCACTGCCGTCCCAGCGTCCCACACCCAGGTGTCCTCACGACCACCCCTGAGGGCGCCTGCATCTTCTCTGTCCTCAGACCGGCTGATGTGGGCCAAGATTGGGCCTGTGGGAGCCGTGGTCGCCTTTGCCATCCTGATTGCCGTCGTCTGCTACATCACCCAGACGCGCAGGAAGTGAGTGCCAGGGTGATCTCGGGCCGGGGAGTCTCCAAAGGGGGCTTGAGGCAGGGCTGGAGGCTGAGGGGTGGGCAGGGAGGGCGGTGCTGTATGTGTGGGAGGGTGGGTTCTGCTGGAGAATGTCCAGCTGGATGCGGGGTCCCCCCCAGTTGGGGGGGCTCCCGCGACCGCAGCCTCTGTTCACACGCATCAGTCACTGCCTGTCTCCCCACACCCCAAGCCAGGAGACCCCCACCCCCCGCATCCTCCGGTGGGAGGGGAAAGCCCACGGACCCCTGTAGCCACAGCATCCGTTTCAGCTGGGCCCAGAAGCACTAAAGATTACACACACCTGCGGCAACAAAAACACTCCCCGACCCCAGACCACACCCACCCGCACACCTGAGCCGCCTCTATTTCTTCCTTGCGGCTCACACGCATCAGCTGTCCTGAAAGTAGATTAGCCTCCTTGTTCCACGTCCTGGCAGCAAGAGGGGCAGACAGACCCAGGGCACAGGAGGGAGCCCAGAGAATCCAGACCGGGGTCCTAAAAAGTGGCAGAGGCCAGGGGCCAGGTCCTCAGCCAGGGCAGAGCCCCAGCCACGGGAGGGGTGGGCCGCAGTGCCCAAGAGGAGTTTGGTCCTTCAGGAGAGGCGGTTTGCCCCATCCTAGAGAGATGGTGGGAGCAGCTTTGGGGTCCCTTGGCCCAACCCCCAAGGTAGATGGGGGTGCAGACAGGGAGGGGAGAGGGGGGCCTGGAGCTGACTTGTTGTCCCCTGCAGAAAGAACGTGACAGAGAGCCCCAGCTTCTCGGCAGGGGACAACCCCCCCGTGCTGTTCAGCAGTGACTTCCGCATCTCTGGGGCGCCGGAGAAGTACGAGGTGAGGACCAGAGTCCGGCAGCCCCGGGCCAGCTGGGGACTGGATGCCAGGGACACCGAGGGCCTGGGGACAGCCTGTGAAGCTAAGGGGCGGGCGGCGGGTGGTGGTGGCAGCCTCTCAGGGGAGGAGAGGAAGGAAGTGGGAGGCTGGGTTGGACCTGGAGGCTGGGGAGGAGGTCCAGGCTGAGGCTTGTAGGGGACCACGGGGTGCGGGGCCCGAGGGAGCCCTCACCCTCCCTGCCTGTGTCTGCGACTTCATTTCCTTCTCCAATAGTCCAGAGAGGTCTCTTCCCTGGAATGTCACTGAGCGCCCCAGGAGGTAGGTTCCAGGGGCCTCAGTGTGCCTGCCCCTGGGCCCGCCTTGGGCCTCGGGGTTGGCGTACATGTGTGTGCGTCCCCGTCAGGCGTCAGAGGTGGTCTCTGGCTAAGTCTGGCCCTGCCCAGCAGTCCTGGCCCTGTCTGTTCGGTCCCACTGCCGCTCCCTTCTGTCTGTGGCCACCGTCCGTGTGTGTGTCCAAATGCCTGTGGCGGGGGACGGATGGCGTGGTGGGGACCCCCCAGACTGAGGGGGGAGACGACGCCTGGTGCAGACACGGGGAGACCCACTGAACCAGCCATTCCCCACATTTGGAAAGGTGGGAGCCTGACTAGGTGGCTTTAATCTGGGAAGGTGTTAGGGGTTAATTGCGTGCCCCCAAAATTCCTGTGTGGAAGAAGGCTTCCTGGAGAAACCGAGTTTGGGGGCTCATTTCCAGCTCAGCAGTGGGGAGGGCAGGAGCCCCAGCAAAGGCTCCAGAGTGGGACCCGGCGGCTGCGGGGCTCGCTGGGCTGGCGCTCTATGAGGAAGGAGGGTCACACGGGGCTCCGGGGCTGCACTCAGGCGCTGGGGGAGCACAGACACCCCAGCTTCGCGTCGGGAGAAGGTGGGGACGGCCCCTGCTAATGGGCTGTTTCCCCTCGTAGAGCGAGAGGCGCCTGGGGTCTGAGAGGAGGCTGCTGGGCCTTCGGGGGGAGCCCCCGGAGCTGGACCTGAGCTACTCCCACTCGGACCTGGGAAAACGCCCCACCAAGGACAGCTACACTCTGACGGAGGAGCTAGCTGAGTATGCTGAAATCCGTGTCAAGTGACGGAGCTGGGGGCGGCCCGTGCGGCCACCCCCCCTCAGGACCCTCGCTGGCCCCCACTGGCTGCGGGCTCCCTTCCTCCCTAAAGTAGCAGGGCGCTGGGGCAGGTGACAGTGAGGTCCTGGGGCCTGGCCTCCCCTCCTTCCCAGCTGCCCTCCCCGCCGGCACCGCACCCCCAATACAGCTCCCCTCTAACCTCCTTTAACCTCGTCTGTCTGGAGGGGAGCTCGTCTGTCCGTGTTATTTATTGCTACCCCTGCCTGGTCACCTGCCCCCACACCTGGCCCCAGGGCCTTTATACAAGGGACAGGAAATAAATGCCCCGAAGCCAAATGCCAGTCTAGATCCTTATGCTTTTTGACCCGTCCTTGGGGAGCCTCCATCCCGCCGTCTCTAGAATAATCGAGAGTTCCTCTTTGCTCTCTGCCGGGCCCTGTGTAGGGGCAGGGGCCCGGGGACTCCAGCCCTGAGCCCTGGCCAGCTGCCATCGACTTGTTCCCACTCCAAACTGGCAGCTGCGGGCTGGGTCCAGCTTGACTCCTGGGTGATGTCACCTAACAGTCCCCACCCCTGCTTCCGCTGCAGTCAGATCGGGCCCGCACGTGCACGTGGCCACTGCTTGCCACAGTCCCCACCGTTCCCTGTTGTCCCACCCGGCCCCTGCCGCTCAGGGGCGGGAACCACAAATCTCGGTGTGTCGTGAGCCTGCGCTGGTTTGACGGCCGTCCCTCGCTTTCGGGCTGCACTCTGCAGCGTCAGCCTTTCGAGTGTCACTGCATTTGGTTCGAGAAACATTCGTTAAGCACCAGTTGCATACCGAGCACCTTCAGGAAGCTCAGGCTGTCTGAGAAGGGACCGCCAGGATAACCACTGTGAAGACGAGGACACTGGGACTCAGAGAAGCTAGATGACTTTCCCAAGATCCTGGAGCTAGAAAATGGTGTGGGCAGCCCTGGAATTGGTTCTTCTGATTAAAAATGCACTTTTTCTGTAACACCTGTCAGGAAGTTAAAGAGGGCGGAGTCTCCGGTGTAAATGGTACTAATAACTGACATTCGTTGAGTGCTTATGATTCTACCCAGTTTATATCAATTAATCTCCGTTTCCCCTCCCTAGCAACCATGACAATGGGTCTCCACACGTGGTCCCCGGGCAGCAGCATCACCTGGGAACTTGCCAGGAAGGCAAATTCTCAGGTCGTACCCCAGATTTCAGGAATCAAAACCAATCTGGGTTTTGACGAGTCCCCCAGATGACAACTGGAGGTGCTGAGACAGAAGTTCCATCACTTCTGAGGTCCCCAGCTGGTAACTGGGGAGCCCAGATTGGAGCCCCAACCCCCGGCTCCAGAGGCCGCTCTTACACTGTGCTGCATGGCCCGGGTGGGAACCGAGCCCCGCTCGCAGGGCCTGGGTGCTGACGCAGCCGCAGGAACCAGGCAGGGGCTGCAGGCAGGGAGGGTTTCTGCCACGGCAGCTCTCCCCGGCTGTTGAAGCAGGCGGAGGATACAGGACAGAGACCAAAGCACAGGATGGAGGCAGAATAAACCAGTCACATTGGGAGGGAAGGTGACACGGGGCCACTGGTCCGGAAGGGGAAGTCCACCCGCAGGAGGAAAGAGGAGACGTAGGGCTGGGAACAGTGGGAAGGCGACTCTCCGAGAGGCCTGCCCGCGCCGGCCAGCGCTCGCGCCTTACTCAGAGTCGGAGTCTTGCAGGGAGAAGGACATGGAACAGCCTCACCCATCGCGCCAAACTGCAACTCGTGACGCCTGCTCCCAGGGAGAAGCTTGGGGCTCTCAGAGCACAGGATGTCAGAGTGACTTAGGGTGTCAGGGGACGCTTCCCTCTGGAAGGAAAGTCATGCATGTGTAAAGGCCCCAAGTGGGAACAGGTTTGGCGAAATTCCGGGAGCAGAACTGAGGTGGAGAATAGGTCCCGGGTGGAAGTTTCTTCCAGATCCGCACACACGCTCCCGGGCCCCGCCCTGGCGCACCTGTCCGCTGACGACAGACCCTGGCTCCAGCAGGTCTGGCCTGGCGGGCATTCCCGCTGAGGACTTCGCCCTGGGGAGCAGACGAGCGTGGATAGCCGGGCAGGGGAGTAGCCAGCGCTGCCCAAAGTGCAGCCCGAGCTCCAGGCTGCTGCTCACGGGGACCCCAGGCCGGGTGTGGGGCGACGCTAACGTCACTATTCCTGCTTCCTGTAGTATGTAACAGAACAAAAGGAAACCAGCACAACAAACCGGCTTTGGATGAGACTGAGTAAATAAAAAATAAATGCAAAATAAAAAGAAAAAAAAAATGAAAGAAAAAAATCAATCGGGTGCATTGATTTAAGGAAATGTATCAAATAAACATATTTCGGGTGGTTCATAGGACGACAGTCCTGAAGGCTGCAGGCGAACCTCTCAAGTTGGGGAGACCATGAACTAACCTGTGGCAAAGACCATCCCTCAGGAGGGACAGCCCTTGGTGGTGACAAACAAGTCCGACCCGAATTCAGGGCCACTCGTGGACTCTCTCCACCCTCCTCCTGGACCCCACCGGAGTTCAACACCGAGCAGCCCTGTGCCAGGGCTGTGCTGGGCTCTAGGGGCACAGCAGTGCCCCAAAGAACCGACACTCTGCGGAGGAGACAGATGACAATCAGAGAAGCAAACACACTACGCGGACCAGACAGGAGCCTGCTCAGAAGGAACAGGCAGATGGAAGGTCGGAGTGTGCAGGGAAAGGCGGCTGTTTTAGAAAGAGAGGTCTTTTAGCCCGCGTGGTGGCACGTGTCTGCAATCCCGGCACTTTGGGAGGCCGAGGCGGGAGGATCCTTTGAGGCCAGGAGTTTGAGGCTACAGAGAGAGAGAGAGAGAGGGAGGGAGGAAAAGGAAGGAAGGAAGGAAGGAGGGAAGGGAGGAAGAGGTAATTTGAGTCGAGGCGTGAAGGCAGTGAGGGAGGAGGCTCTGTGGGTTTCTGGGGAACATGGGTCCCGGCAGGGCCAACATCGGGTGCAGAGGCCCACGTTGAGCAGGTACTTGCCATATTGATGAACAAGAAGGAAAGCGCCTGTCTGGGTGCAGCGATGGAGGCCGAGAGGTTGCCCAGGGGAGCTCCGCCACAGAGGCCCTGGAGGCCACGGGCGGGACTTGGGGGCTGTGGGCCTCCCCTCTGAGCGGATCAGGAAGCCGCTGGGAAGTGGGCCCAGAGGGGTGCTATGCAGGGGCTTGAGGTGACAAAGACCCACCGGCAGGTGTGGGCAGTGAGCACAGGCGGGCGGCAGCAGGGCGAGGGCTTGGGGCATGGCCGTTGTCCCGGAGAGGACTGGAGGGGCGGCCGGGCGGAGTCAGGACCTGCTGTAGGGGAGGCCCGCGGGGACAGGAAGGCTGATGGCACCCCTCCCTCGGGAAATGCCGAGCTGAGGCAGAGTCAGACCCCATGACACAGTGACTCACCCCTGCTGACTCAGAGAGATGGGGACAGACGGAGATGAGGTCCGGCCGAGCTGGGATGGAGGTGAGCACGTCTCGTGGTCTCAGAGGCCGGGAGGGATGGCAGGCCACGTGCAGGAGGTAGGACACCCAGGCACCAGGCCATGGTCACGACACAGGCCTCTTTGTCCCTTCCCTCCTGCCAACCTCCTGAGTTGCTCCTGACTGAGATGACCGGTCCGTCCCTGGCCCACCCCCAACCCTGTCGCTGGGACCGTGCCTGGGGCGGGCAGCTCCATTATCCTCACGGATGAAAGGGCTCCAGGCCGGTGCTGGCCACTGCGACGCCTCCTCCCCGGCTGAGCCGGGCCGGGTGGGGACTCACAGCTCAGCTCAGGAGTAGCCAAGCCTCCTTCTTCCCCCACCCTCCTCGCTCTCAGCTCCAGTCTGCACCCTGGACAGGAGGTGACAACCTCTCTTCACGGCGGGGCAGCAGCCAAGCCGAAGACCCCTTCCCACCCCAGAGCTCCGTGTGCCTGGGGTACCTTCCCTGGGGAGTGGGGCGGAAACCAGTTTGGTCCCCAAGGGCCTGTCTGTCCAGCTCAGGCTAGGGCTGAGTGAGGGGGTGACAGTCCAGTCACCCAACACAGAGACCTTTACCTCTGTGCAGGGAAAGAAGGAAGGAGGAGTGAAGGCACCAAACTCCTGTCCCAGGAGTCCTGCCCCCCACCTGTGCGCTCTCCACGCAGCCCTTGGTCTCCCGAAATCAGGACAAGGCAATGAACCCGTTGCCCAATTTCCTCCCGCTACAGGCCTGTGAGCAATGCTTGGTGTCGCGGCAGGCAGAAGCCTCGGATCCTCCTACGTGATGAGCAGGAATTCAAGTCCCAGTGAGTCCCCTGTCTGAGACCTTTAGGATCCAGTCCCCTGGCCGAGAGTCCCCCACTGAGATTGCTAGGGCTTTCTGAAACATTTTATTTTTATTTTTTAGAGACGGAGTCTATGTTGCCCAGGCTGGTCTTGCACTCCTGGGCTCAAGCGATCCTCCCGCCTCAGCCTCCCAAGTCGCTGGGATTATGAGTGTGAGCCACTGTGCCCAGCTTTAACTTTTTGTTGTGAGATTCATAGGAGGTTGCAAAGAGCGAGCAGAGAGGTCTGGGGTGCCCTTCACCCACTTTCCCCTGATGGGTACTTCTCACATCATGATAGTACAATGTCAAAACCAGGAATTTGACGTTGGTATGATGTGTGTGTTCTGTGTCATTTTATCACATCTAGATGTATTATACATAACCACCACTTCACGCAGTATACTGCTCTGCACACTCATCCAAACTGTCGCCTGTATCAACACCTCATCCCTTTTTGTTGCTAAATAGTACTCCATGGTACGGATGTATCACAATTTGTTTAACCTGTTGAAGGATATTTTGTTTCCAGTTCGAGGCTTTTACAAATAAAGCTGCTAGGAACAAAGGTGTACAGGTTTTTGGGTGGACATGAGTTTTCATTTCTTGGAGATAAAATGCCCAGGAGTATAATTGCTGAATTATATGATAGGTTTATTTTATTGAATTTTTCAAGAAACTGACATACTATTATATTTTCCAGAGTGGTTATACAATTTTACATTCCCACCAGCAAGGTATAAATGATCCAAGTTCACTGTATCCTCACCAGCATTTGGTAATCGTCACTGAAAAAAAAAAATTTAGCTCTTCTAATAAGTATGTAGTGGTATCTGGTCATGGGTCTTCATTTGCATTTCACTAATGGCTGGTAATGGGGAACATCTTTTCATGCGCTTATTTACCGTCTATATATATCCTCCTCGGTGAAGTGTCTCTGCGTGTCTTTTACCCATTTTCGAACTGGATTGGTTTTTAAAAATATCTATAACAGCTTTGCTGAGA